CTTCTTCTTCTTCTTCTTCTTCTTCTTCTTCTTCTTCTTCTTCTTCTTCTTCTTCCTCCTCCTCCTCCTCCTCCTCCTCCTCCTCCTCCTCCTCCTCCTCCTCCTCCTTCTCCTTCTTCTTCTTCCTGTCCTGGAACTCACTCTGTAGATCAAGCAGGTCTTGAACTCACAGAGATCTGCCTGCCTCTGCCTCCTGAGTGCTGGGATTAAAGGTGTGTGCAACCACAGCCCTGCTAGCATCAGAGCTTCTAAAAGTGATAGTGAGAATATTTGTCAGCAGAAAAAGAATTTGTTGGACAATTTAAAAAAGCTGACTGTATGTACACATATAATATAATGTATATACAGTTATATATATTTTGAGCTAAAGGTTTCTAACTAAGATATATTGTTTTTTATTAATGATCTGTTTTATGGAAATTCACCCTAATAAACCTAACAAACTATAACTGAAATTGCACCATACAGAAACTGTAATATGATTTACCTACGTTCATATGATAGAAATATGACATGAAATGAAATTATTTCTAGACTTATCTCTAGTATCTCTTCTTGAGAAAGGAACTAATGAGCAAACAAGGCAGGCAGGCCATTCCTTGTCTGCTATGAAGAGTATCCACCATGGTGGATGTGAACTCACTGTTATGAAGCCAAACAAATATTTATGTAAACTAAAATCACTCTCACACCTCGACATTTTACCTTTCAAATTCATTGAGTTCACAATGTCTAGGACATGATGATTTTTTCGATAGTTATTGGTATTTGAAAAGGATTTATTTGTTTTTATTTTATGTATATGGGTGTTTTGCCTACATGTAATGTCTGTGCTCCATGTGCATGCTTGGTGCTCTCAGAGGACACCAGAGAACATTAGATGCTCTGGGATTGGAGTTACAGGGGGTTGTGAGCTATCATGTGGGTGCTAGAAACCAGACCCAGGTCCTTTACAAGAACAACAAGTGCTCTTAACCACTGAGCCATCTTTCCAGCCCCACCATAATTACTTTTGATTAAAGTAGAATGTTTTGACTTGTTCAGAAGTTGCTGTAGGGGCACTATTTTCAGTTGCAATAAGGAAGTTTTAATGATCACCAGCCCTAATTAGATGATTATAAAGTGTCAAGTTGCGCAATGTTCTGTTTTTTAATTTTATTTTTTATTTATATGTGTGTGTGTCTGTGTATATTGTGTATGTTTGCATACCCATCTTGTGTAAATGTCAGAAGACAACTCAGTGGAGTCGGATGTCTGCTTGCACCTTCATGCTGGTTCTGGGAACTAGAATTCAGTTACTTGTAGTAACTGTTTTTATCTGCTGAGTTCTCCAGGCCCACTAGCAATATTCTTTTTCTTTTTCTGTTTTCCTTCCTTCCTTCCTTCCTTCCTTCCTTCCTTCCTTCCTTCCTTC